TGTTAACTGGCTGCTCTGGTATGTTTATGTCTCTTGGCAAACCGGAGCCAATGGTCACGAGGCTCCATGGCCATTGTGCGGGTCAGTAAACACACTGGAGCGGCCAGTTAACGGGTTTCTCAAAGTGGTTTTTTGTACCACTTTGAGAAACACTGATGCAAGGTGAGACCCTTCATGATGGATCATTTTAAAACATTCTCCACCTTATAGAGAATTAGTGCTGTACATACAAAGTTTCTTGACGAAAAACCTGCCACCAACTCTACTGACTTGGCCTAGGACATCCAGTTACGGTGCCACTACTGCTTCAGTTTATTCAAAACCTAATCCAATACATATTGGAGACAGTAGGGACTTTTCCACTGACTTCAGTGCTCATCCTATCAGAATCTGATGACACTGGCCATTCATATCTGGAATAGCCACCTAATTGAACATGGTTGGTTGTTAGTTGATGTATTTGTTTGGGGCACTCTTGAAATCTTATGCTGAGCAAATAATGAAGGTCTGAAAGACAATAAAATACTGAATCAATTTTCTTTAAAGTTACCATTCAAAAACATGACTATTCTTTTAATATGTTAACCTGCAACACTGAGGAATAGAGAGAGCTGCTGAAATATATAATTAAGTTAGAAACCACTTAATTTCAATATTTTTCCAGGGTTTTTAACCACATTCAGTTTTCAATGCATCCTGACGAGCCATGAATCAGCCATTGGCTATGAAACTGTTTTTAGCAGTCTGTTCCTTAGAACATTTTTGTTTGAAAGTGAAGACTGTGAACAAGTTGATTGGTATAATTGCAATACACTTTAGAATGTCTGTCTTTGCCAAATATGAGATGGCTGGGCATTTTCCTTTGATTTGTTTGGTCACCAATACTGTTACTAAAATACATTGTGCCTTTTGTTTAGGCGGAAGCTGCAACAGAGGTGACACATAGCTATAGTGAAAGTGTAAGGGGGAAATAATTGATAAAAGTGAATATATTTGAGACCATGTATATGTTTAGATAAGATTGAGCCATGGTCAAATTGGTTATTAATAATTGTCCTAGTACTTGCCTATTCTGTCATACCACTAGTGAACAGTAGAGCAGGCAAACCCAAAGTGAATATGTCCCCTTTCTTTGCAGCTCTTGTTCTGTCATCTCCAGTGTTGCAGGTTTGTTTTTTTTCTGAACAAAATCCCTGGGTGAATTTCCTATTTGCCTCTGTGTACGTGTTATTTGTGGCAGAGTCTGTACCTGGTCAGCAGCTCTAGAACTGGAGGCCCTGGACGCTATATGCTGGGCTTCAGTGGAAAGAGAGATCAGCTTAATTTTGTCCCAGGTGAAGGAGTCCAGCGGTTCCTAGCCTGGACTACTGGAAGGTTCCCACATCTTCTTTGTCCCATTAGTTGAGATGACATGCAGTAAAAATTGTCCAGTGAGTGTTAAGAACCTATTGAAAGATCTTAGTTTTATAGTGATACTATTAGGAAAAAGTGAAAACATTTTTTTATTCTTTTAAATATTAAATCCAATGTATGTGATGATGCAACATATCTTTAAAGTGCCAATAACTAAAATAGAAGCACTAGTAGTAAAGCGCTAGAAATTTGGTACATGCATAATTCCTAGATTTTGGAACTGTGTTAGTGACCCAAATGAATCTGAAGCACCCTTAAATTTAGTGAGAGCCTGGTTCTACGTCCCTTACTCTCATTGAGCATTATCTTCATGAGTGGTCTTGTTGAGAGCAGAATCAGACCCAGTGAAGGGAGTATGAATGGGTGTATTTATTTCCAAACTATGATGTTTAGCTTTTATTTGGCCTATAGGTAATTGTAAGATGCCTATCACTATGGTACGCACCAAGATTTACCATACTAATGTCTGGTTCTGCAGTGATATTCCTAAAATTGATACTGATGGTTGATTTGATTTTTTTTTTTTTTAAACACTCAAGAGTATTTTGGATGTATGTGTCTGCTGTGCCTTTAAAAAGTTGAGGCTACTTGCATCCCAAAATATTTAGTCGCAAGAGAATTTATGAACTGTGCAATGATTCTCTTTTATGCCTTTTAGAATATAGCATTCAATATTTTGCATTACAGTTCCAAAAGCAAGGAATGATATCAGAGGCTAGTGGCAAATCTTCATTAGCTTTTAATTTCTAAACAAAAGATATTTAGCATGAATTAAAAGTAGCTTTATGTAGGCTTTTCATTTCACTATGCTTTAACTGTCCAATTAAAACAGGTATTTTACTGGCTTTGCTAAAATATTCAGATTTGACTGCTAAATTTTAGTGGTATATTTTAAGTATGTTTCAAAGTGGGCCTGTAACTCACTAATTCTTGTGTGGTCTCTTAAAATTGAAAGTAAAATGCAAACGCTTAACTAAAATACTTACAAGCTACAGCCAATTTAGTGGTACCTAAGTTCCTAAATAATCAAAGATCTGATACAAATTACAGTGGAGTTAGTTGTGACATTGATTGATACTTTGAGGAAATAGTTGAACTAGATTTCAGTGCAGTAATAATACCTGTTTTAATAGTAGTGAAGGTCTAGTTTAGACTCTATTATAGATTTGCTTTATTTTTTTCATTCATCAACTCACTGTTTTCATTCTACAACAAGGCTCAATGCACCTTTAAACACTTGTCTACGTGAAAAATCCTCTCAAGCCTCTTATAAGCCTAACTTTTTTTCAGAGGTGCTGAGTGCCCACAGTTACGATGAATGTCAATTGGAGCTGCCAGTGCTTAACACATCTGAAAATCATACTCTGTAATAATGAAAGAGGCTAGCTATGCGATGTGCTGAAATCTCAGACTCGCTGACAACGAGAATCCCTCAGAACCAGACCCATAATGCATTAATTAAACCAGTAAGGCCAGATTCTTGCCCTCAGTATTGGCCCCTTGTTCAGATTTTTGTGCTGTAATTAGGGATTGCCCTGGCAGGGTGGAATTCCTGAGTCCCTCAAATGCGGTTTAGCCAGCTCCTTGTGATGCCCCCAGTCAATCCCAGGTGCATTGTTGAAGTGTGAATAGGTGTGGGCAGGATTGAAGTCCATATACTTTAAGGAAAAGGAGAGGTTGCAAGAAGATCTTGAATTATTATTCCCTTCTCACATGAAAATAGAGGAATATAAATGGGGATTCTGATTTTTAGCTTAAACCAAAACAATGCCAGCTGTATATTTGAATCTGTTCATAAAAACTATTGACAAAAACAAAACAAACCCCAGAATATGGCCCAGCTTAGGAGGGGATTTCAACTGAATTTACATCTGCTTTTAATTTCTAGGCCATATTTCTTTCTGTCCATGCTTTCCTCTGCAGTAACACGTCACAGCACCATGTTGCCTACACGGTGTGTTAGCAATAAAGGGGGAGCTGTTCCTTAATAATTATTTTAACTTGGGGGGTTTACTTCATTTCATTCATTTCATCAGCTAGTCTGTGCTCACAGTGGTACCATCACTATTCATATTAATTTACAAAAAATACTTTTCCCAGGGTTGTTACAGAAAATGAGTACAATAGAAAGTAGAAACCAGAATCTCTAAATATAATTGCATTAGTTAATCCATTCTAGTAACAATAAAATATTCCCTAGCACTGAGTGTGCTCTTCAACCCGAGCAGGGGGTAAAGGAGGAGGGAAGGCAGCAGAGGACATATCTTGCTTTCCACTGTGTTTTTATGTAGTTAATTTATACCTATGGAAAATGGCACCATCAAGGCCATTGTGAATTACAGGTTGGACCTCCCTGGTCCGGCACCCTCTGGACCTGACCGATCCTGGATGATGGATTTTGCCAGACCAGGAGTGGTCATTTCTGGACTCCCTGCTGCCAGTCCCCTCCAGCCCTGGCCCAACTACTGCCTTCCCAGCTGGCTCCCCATTCTTGCTGGCCCTGCTGCCTTACCAGGTGCCCCCCCCCCCCCCCCCCCCTCTGCATACAGGGCTCCTGCTGTTGCACCCAACTCCTGCTGCTGCACCAAGTAACCCCACTGCCTCTGCTGGTCGGCCTCCCACTGCTGTGCCAGGCAGCCTCACCACCTGTGCACACACCGGGCTCCTGCAGCAGAGCCTAGCAGCCCTGTTGCCTTCATGCCCTGGGTTCCCACTGCACCCTCTGCGCCAGGTTCCTGCTGTCATGCATGGTGCTCCTGGCCCCACTGCACTGCTAGCTTGCAGGGCTCCCAGGCACTAGCCCTCTACTGGGACACTCTGGTCCCAGTTGCGGGACCAGATAGTCCTGATTAAGAGAGTTTCAACCTGTAGTAATATTCCTCGCTACTTTGCAGCCACATGGATTATTACGCAGGGTGCCAAGCAGGGCAGAATGAGGTCTGGAGTATGTTTGTTCTCGTCAGGGACCTTCCAATGAATAAGAATGACAGTGACAGGCTCTGAAGAGAGTTTTGTCCTACATAGTTAGAAAAAGTGCTGGATGCAACATTGTCTTACTGGCAGAGTGAGGGAAATGGTTGGTTTATAAAAACTAAAGACCTGGAAGGCATCAGAGCATAAGGTTAGGAAGGAACTGTAAAATGTCTCTTCTTCCAAAGCGTAGATCCAACTCTCATTGGTATTACTGAATTACCACTCTACGGGAGAAAAGCTCTGCAGTGGGATTTTATCCTGACTGCTGCCCATGAACGTTGTAGCGGGGGGGTAACATTCCAGTATCTAAAATCGGAATAGAAACGATATCTGCCACAGACCCTAAGAGCAGCTGTTTTTCCCAACACCTGTTTATCATACTTTCCTTCTTTGCATGGAGCCATGTTGTTGCACAGACCACCTTTACCCCCTCCCTTAAAGCATGTTCCCCTTCCCCCACTGTCCATTATTTTCATAGGTCTAGTTGAAACTTAAATCTAGTTGACGGAGTAATTTAAAGCACACATGATTTTGACAGTTAAAGTTCTTGTTCTGTTATAAATGCAGCAACATTGCCGGATAGTCTTAAATCTTTTCTCTTGTGATGTTTGTAGCGACTCTGCTGAATGCTGGGACCACTGCAACAGTGGCCCTGCTGCGAGATGGTATTGAACTAGTTGTGGCCAGTGTTGGGGACAGTCGTGCACTGTTGTGTCGAAAGGGAAAAGCCATAAAACTCACCATTGATCATACTCCAGAAAGGAAGGACGAGAAGGAAAGGTACAGCTCAGTTATGCTATTAACATCACTTGGGACAGCCTTCTTCAAACTCTCTTTACATTATTACATGACTAATTTTGTTCTAAGTAAAGGGGAATCAAACCAAATATTAGGGCCATCTGCTTTAAATAAGTGCAACTCCACTGAAGTCAATGGCACTTCGTGTAAATTTACTAGGTTTGTGGCTCTGGCCCACTGCACTTTACATCTTGAAACTCATCCTCACCGCTTTCTTTTCTATCTAGAGGTGAGTGCAGAACTAAGGGTACGTCTAGACTACATGCCTCTGTCGCCAGAGGCATGTAGATTAGGCTACCAGGCATAGTAAAATGAAGCGGCGATTTAAATAATCGTCACTTCATTTAAATTTACATAGCTGCCGTGCTGAGCCGACAAACAGCTGATCAGCTGTTTGTCGGCTCAGCACGGCAGCTATGTAAATTTAAATGAAGTGACGATTATTTAAATCGCCGCTTCATTTTACTATGCCTGGTAGCCTAATCTACATGCCTCTGGCGACAGAGGCATGTAGTCTAGACGTACCCCTAGACTGGAACATCCAAGGACACAGAGGTAGAGCCAAGATTAGAACTCCTGGGCACATGTTTCCCATCCAGAACCCAGTCTCTTAAGCCAAATCTCTTTTTGGAAGTCCTTCAGAGAATAGATATCTGAGTCTGTGAATATCTCTGCCTCCATAACCTCCCCACTCCTCTATATAGTATAATCCAAGATAAAGGCACAGGCAGAAATGTTACATTTTTTTTTTAATTGTTGGTTTGAACTTTTATTTCATATTTTCTTTCTCCTATTTTGTGTTTTGAACAGGATAAAAACATGTGGTGGCTTTATAGCCTGGAACAGTCTGGGGCAGCCTCATGTGAATGGTAGACTTGCAATGACACGGAGTATAGGAGATTTGGATCTTAAAAACAATGGAGTGATAGCAGAGCCAGAAACTAAAAGGGTTCAGGTAAGAGAGAGTCTAGTTAATAAGGATAATTGAACCTGAGCATTTGGATCATGTGGTGTGCACAGCATTTGTGTCTAGTAGTCAAAATGCCTTTGGAACCTTTTGTCTAACTGTGGACCAGATTCTGATTTTATTTATGCTGTAGTCAGCATGGTCACTCCAGATTATTACTGGGCCAGATTCTGTTCAATGACAAATAGGTTAGTTTGTGTGTGTGATGGGAAAGGGAGTAAAACATGATTACCGTTAGCTAATTGTAATGAATGTATGTTGTGTTTTATTGAAATTAACTAGGAAAATCCCACCTCAGCAGTGGGATTGACATGCTGATTTGCACAGATTGGGCCAGAATTTAAATAATTTAAAAATAGCAAGCTTTTGCATTTTGCGCACCTGTGAAGGGAAATTATAGAGCTGCAAGACGCATTTTATTGGACTCCACAGTTGTTCAGCATATGTAGAAAAATGAGTTAGCTTCTCAAAATTAATTAAATGTGTTTTTCTCAGTTTCTCCCCTCCCCCAACTTCCTGACCATCAGTGTTCCTTCTAATCTTTTCTATCCATGTGCAGATTTTTTCTGTCCTTGGGTAGAATAAATATTTTATATACATTGAGGCATGTGTGAATGTGCACCACTAGTAGAAACAAAAAACTTAGTTGTGGGCACACTGCTAATCAGCTGGGTGGCATCTGAATCTCTCCTGAGTGGTTGCACAAGTACATGCTTACAGAGCACACTGCCTACCTCCACCTCACTCCCTTCTACTCTCACCTAAACATAATCTTGTCAGTACCCCTTCTGTGGCCTCAGGATGGGAAGAGAGTCAGACATTGGGGGGGCCTATCCGAGGTGAACCTATATAGATAGCAGAGAGTTAAAAGGTCATTAAAAAAGGTAACTGTGTAACCACTAAAAATCTTAGTGGTTATATGCACTATGGGCTCTGCAGTACAGTGGAGTCTGGATTAACCGACACCCGGTAATCCAACACTCCACTTTATCTGGCCCTGCAGCTCCCAGGGACTTTGGCCCCGGGAGCTACAGGGTCGGATACAGCGTGGGCCGGGAGAATGGTCCCGCTTGCTGCTTCTGTTTGGAAGCATCCCAGCAGCAGCAGCTTCTCCTAGAGATCAAGGGAACAGCTAATGCTACTCTGCCGGGGACTTTCCGCGCAGGAGCGGCATCAGCTGTTCTGTTGCTCTCTGCAGTAGAGTCCATATCATCCCACATATTCGGTAATCCGACCATGTGTCTGTCCCGTTTAGGTTGGATGATAGGGACTCTACTATATAAAGCTTAGTGAAGTCGCAAAGTCTCCTCAGGAGCGGGCAGGCAAAGGTTGGTGGCTCTGCTCCCAGGGGGTGAAGCTTCACTGCCATAGTGAAACTGCCTCCTGGGGAGTGGAGCTGACAGCTCTGTTCCTGGGAGGCTTCACTGCAGGCTCTACAGCCAACTCCTAGGGAGCCACAGTGTGTAACCTGTGGCAGAGGGGCCGGTCCTGCCACAGACAGGGCCACTGGCCAGATCAGCACCTGCTTACAGTGGGCCCTTCAGGGCTTGAGTAGCTCCCTGCGCAGGGCAGGCAGGGAGCTGCTATAGCAGGCTAACTAGTTAACTTTTTGCATCTTTAATAGATGGACATATAGATATTTTTAGGGCAGGTACCAATCAGATTGAGGACAGAGCCCACTGCCTATTGTGCAGGTCAAACTAGATGATCAGAATGATCCTTTCTGGCCTTAAAATCTGTAATAACTTGAGGTCGTTAACTATTAACTGTGCAATACATATCTGGCAGGCTTTTGGCCTCAGTTTATTGAACCCAGGACAGGGTTCTTACCACATACTGGGAGCATCCTGAAGTAATTTACTTTATGATGTTGGAATATGGTTAACTTAGATATTCTTGTGTGCCAGTGCTTCAAAACAATGTGGTGAAATAATTTAAAGTTGTGGTGCTGTCGGTATCACTCAGAAAATGGAGGAGCATACAGCAACAACAGCAGAAGTCTGTTGTGACAAAGAAAAAAAGTGGAATTGTTCTTCTCTGCAATAATTTATTTATAAGGCAATTTATATTATGCTAATTACAGTTACATCATGGAAGTGATGGCTTCCTGGTGCTTACTACAGATGGCATTAACTTCATGGTGAACAGTCAAGAGATATGTGACTTTATTAGCCAGTGCCATGATCCGACTGAAGCAGCCCATGTTGTCACTGAGCAGGTAATGTTTGACTTTTGGCTCAACCAGTGCTTTGATGATGATGATATAGGATAATGTAGCTTAGCAGGAAATAGAATGTGCAATACAGGCAGTCCCCGGGTTACATACAAGATAGGGACTGTAGGTTTGTTCTTAAGTTGAATTTGTATGTAAGTCGGAACTGGTACATATTGTAGGGGAAACTCTAGCCAAACATTGCTCCAGAGCTCAGTTTTATTCTCCCACAGCTCACTTCCCTCAGTCTGCTGAGAAAAGCCGCTCCGCGTCTCCCTGGTCTGTTGGGGGGAAGCAGCTAGTGCGGGGTTGCCTCATCCCGTTTGTAAGTAGGGATCCGATGTAAGTCGGATCCATGTAACCGGGGGACTGCCTGTACTCAGTATTCTCAAACTAACAGATCCATTACAGTGCACAGATGATATTATAGCAGCTGTCTGGCACAATCTGTAGTAGGATTGGGAATTCAAGAAATGGGGTTTACTTTGTTTTTTCAAACATAGGCTGAAGTTGGGGGTAGTACTTGGGATCCCAGACAACACTGTAGCTGCTTAAATGACTCCAAGAGCTGGGAGAAGACAGATGCTGAAGACCGAGGCTTTTTGAGGCCTACGGTCTCTTGGACCTGTGGGGCTGGATACCTGCCTTCCTATACAAAAAAAAATTCAAGTTCACAGAAGAATAGTACTTTGGAAGCGATAATTATGATGATGATGATTTATTTTTCTTCTCAGGCTATACAGTACGGTACTGAAGATAATAGCACTGCTGTCATAGTACCGTTTGGAGCATGGGGAAAATATAAAAATTCTGAGGTCAGCTTCTCATTTAGCCGCAGCTTTGCCTCAAGCGGAAGGTGGGCATGAGGACCTGTTGGAATGAGATTTTCTGTGCAATAACCTGTACACCATATGCTACACGAGAACACATCTGTACCTAGGTTGATAATCTTGCTCATTTATTTTTCTCCCAATATTGTACAAAATACTAAGCTTACTGTTAACAAATCCTCATCACATATGTTCCATTTTTGCCATTTTTATTTATGTTTTCAGAATTTAGATAGATGTTCATTTCACTGACTTGTTTTGTTTCTAGTCCCAGATGATGGGTGATTCTGTGCCAATAGACGAGGTGCTGGGCAGTATTCAATACATGTTTTTCTTCTTACTGCTTTATCTAATATTCTGAAAGATTGATATGCTGTATAGACTGAACCATGTGCTCCCCTCTTTGTACAATACACAGGGGAGCAAACACATTGTAATGATGAGGAATGAAAGAGGCCTGTTATGTCTTCCACAATGACACAGCCACCAAAAAATCCTTGTGTACTTCAAGGGAATCCTATGAAAAGTAGTTGCATATCTGGTGAGGATTCAGGAAGAGGATATTCTGTGAAGCACAGTATGGGTACATCTACACAGCAGTGTAATTTCAGAATAACTGGCGTTACTCTGAAATAACATAGTCTGCGTCTATACTACATGCAGTTATTTTGACATAATGTCGAGCTGGAGGACTGCTTACTCCGACTCCTGTAACCCTCATTTCACAAGGAGTAAGGGAAATTGGAGGAAGAGTATTCTTTCTCGGACTTTCTGCTGTGTAGACAGTGCCAAAAGCTGAAATAAGCAATTTCAACTTAAGCTATGCAATTAACTTAGCTCAAGTTACATAGCTTATTCCAGCTTTACTCCTTCTGTGTAGGTGTGTCCTATGACACAATAGTGTAAATTTAGCCCAGAAGTCCTGTCTAAGTTAATGCTGCTGAGTAGAACAATACCTTGATGTCCACACTATGCAAGTTGAAGTATGTGTGCAGGCCAGGAGCTAAAGATGCATGGCAGCCAGGGGTTTTTCTACATTGGCCTGGGGCTTTGTGAGGGTCTCTGCTTTCCTACATCTCTGGCCAATATGTGATTTGGAGGCCATGTTACAGCCCTCTTTATAGACCCCTAGCATAACTTCATTGTGAGGAACATAATGCTGATCTACAGAGGTACAAAAAAGTGTATTTTTTCAAATTAAGAGGCACTGTTCACTATTCCATTTTCTAGTAGAGCTCTCTGGAAACAATGCAACAGGAATATTCTTTTATTCTTTTAAAAAAACAAATAAGGACTTTCTTGCTCTCTAGAAAAGGCAGCCGCTAGTTGACTGACCAAAGGGTCCCTTCAACTGCACAAAGTAAACTGGAAAAAGGGGAGTGGCACAGGGCGCAACATTTACCAATGGACTGGTGCTTCCTCCTGGTTACTCTAGGGTTTAGCGGAAGGATATAATATTCCCTGTTTGCGATTTGCACCCCACCAGTCTGTCATATTTTTGCTGGCAGTCTCTCCAGGAATTGCCCTGACCTCTTTGTGACTTGACTCTTCAGCTCTATCACCGCCAGTACTCCCCCCTTCTGGATACCAGTACTTCACAGTCCATCCTTCTACCTATTTCCATCAGTGGCATACAGTGGGGGAACCCAGGCCTGTTCACTACTCTGGGTCCCAACCCAGAGAGTTACATGCTGCATCCTCTCCCACTGTTCAGTAGCTTTCCCTGGGCCACTTATGTGCTGCCCCAACACTTTCCCCATCTTTAATTTAGGGACTCTGCAGCTTACTCCCAGCAGCCAGCTAGGAGTTCCTTCGCTCCAGTCCATGCCAGCAGCTGCCATAGCCATGCTGCTAACACCTCTTTTAGCTGCTAGGAACCCAGGCCTTACCCACAGAGTCCCGGGTCATGACTGCCCATTCTGGCTCTGCAGCCTCTTTTACATGAACCATGCAGAGCCCAGATTGGTTGCTCCCTGCAGCCCCTCTTTGACTGGTGCAGCCCAGACAGCAAGGGCGGAGTTACGGGAGAGCAGGGGGAGGGGCAGCAGCTGTGCACAGTGGGAAGTGGCTTGCTTTTCTTCCTGTTCCCCAGGCTATCAGGGAGTAAGGGGGAAGTATTTGCATTCTATGATTTACTCCTTAGTTTCTTCCCTTCACCGGCCAGGAATGAGAGGCGTGTGCACAGAATACAAGTACTTTCCCCTCGCTCCCTGATAGTCTGGGGAACAGGAAGAAAAGCAAGTTACATCCTGGTAAACACGCTGGCTGCCCCCACTGCCCTCCTGAAACTCTACCCTTGCCAGTCAGCTGGGG